CTCCAGGCAGCCCAAAAATATTTTATTCATGACAAAATTCATGCCAAAATAACAGCTCAATCATCTACTAACTGGGTGACTACAGTGCAGCCCTCCCACTCACCAGGCTAAGTTGTGTCACTATTATTTCACTATATCTAACTGCAGAAGCATACATAGAGGACTTAACTTTGGATTGTCTTGAAACTTAGTGTACGGTGGGTGGCTTCTCTACTGATATTTAACTATTAATGGTCCATCTGTAGAGATTAACTTTGTGTTGTCTTCCACCTTTATGTACATGTTTATTTTTCATGGGTGGCACTAAGATCTTTTCCTCGTGATACAAGACTCCAAAAAACTATTTAACCTGTCCATCTTGTATCAATTCTAACTGCCACATCATAGTGATGTATATTCTCAAGCGGCCAATGACATCATAATATTTGAAATACAACGTTTTATTTTACTCACAATCATGAGTTGAAAGTCTGTCCATCTTTTATTCATTCTTCCAGTGATCTATCACCTAAAAACCTTTCAGTGTATCATATGATAGAGATCAATCTTACCTCCCTCTGTGATATTAGTACTGAGTTTTCTCTATCAATAGTCAACGTACTGTAGAATATTCTCATTGTTGATTTCTCAGTCCCCGTTCAATGAGATTGTTAACTTTGCTCATATGTCTTGAGTCCTGTATCCAAAAGTTAACTGTTTGAACACCGAGTGTAAATGAAATAAAATGGCATATACCCTACACTCCAAGTGATAATTATAACTAAATGCGTATGACGTTAACTTGAAAATATATTGCTTAGATATATGGTCAATAAACCAAAGTGTAACTTCCATTTTCATGACTAGTGAGGACACTGTATCGATTACATTCATTAAGTTTACTAGTAATGGTTTCTAAAGAGGTATGACATGCCTACTCTACCAGGCCACCTGTCTTCATTAGCCCATATAGTGTAGAATAGTAGGATGTAAAACTCCATTTCATTTCCAGAACACCTGAAGTCTGCAACTCTGTTTGTCCACTTGGTTACTTTATCAGAGAATATGCATTGCAACTGACAATATTTGGTATCTGTATTGCTTTAGTAGTTATGTATAATATGTTTCAACTACTCATACAATCTGATAGATAGAAAGGCAAGGCAGGTTCACTCTTATGGAACACTTGATGCCACTCTCTAACTGTGACACATTGTCAGCATTGCCACTGAATTGCTTAAATAGTTATATATCATACCACTATATACTATACATGTATATTATTTACCACTAGTAGTTGCTAGTTTGTAAGGCAAGATATGATGCATACTCTACTGAAACACCTGATGCCACACTGCAAATGTGTTTGTCGGCCCATTAAAACCATTGTTCTGTCATAGAAGTTACTTTGATATTTGTATTGCTTTATTTAGATCTATATTGAGCTATGTTTTGTCTACCAATAATAAAACTATGGAGAACTTCTCAAGAAGTTATTACAATGTAACATTTTTCTTCTCACTATTTAGGTTTATATTGTTTACAAAAAATACACATTATTTCCCAGCTTGAATTTGGTAAAAAAACAACAAGTATCATCTGAATGGAATAGCTAACATACATTCTCTACAGCAATGTTTCTATTAAAGGAGAGTACTCACTTTTTGTTCATTATATAAAATTACTTTTCCATGTTGTTTCATATAAAGTGGCACAATGACAGAAAAATATGCTTCAAATTATCAAGCTATTACAAACTGTCTCTAATACCTTGACTTCATGGGGCTCTTTTCTTGTATCAATAAAGCAGTGATTTGAATGGATTGTATGCCAGAGAATAAAGCCAATTAGAGAGACATAAAGACTGAAAACTGAATATTGTTTTTTTGTTTTCAACAGACAAAAATCTGACATTTGCATCTGGAAAGAAACTAAAAAGCCTTAATTTTTCCATAAAATGACAGTGGGACAATCTCTTTAATATGTCCCACCTCAAATAGTTGAGATATTGTAGACAAAAATAATATTGAGAAAAGAAAGGGAAGGAATACTTTCAGTTGTAATGTATCTTACTTTTAATGTAATCAAAACATCAACTTTACCAGATATAAACAAACATTAGTTCACTTGAACTTAAGTCATTTCTTACTATGTTACGATTGCTTTACAAGGGCAATAACTCTCAACCAAAATCTGATCATTTGAGTACCGGTATTAAATTTTCATTAGAAGCATTTTATGTTAAAATATTGAAAACATCATTAACTATTTTGTCACCATAATTCAATCAAACAAGGGCAATAACTCATGACCGATATTTGATTATGTTTCTGACTTGTAATGTACTGGTATCTTAATAGTAATTAATTCATCAACTATTGAAAACGGTTACATATACAATGATATATATATATATATCACACTCACAACTGATATAATGGTACGATTGTTTTAGACCAAGGCAAGGTCCCAAATTACTTTAAGTAAGCTTACAGGTACATAATGAAAAATAAAAACAGTTGAAGAGCTGTTATAACATCTTATCAAAGTCCTAAATGGTGTCATCAAGATTGATAAAAGGTTAAATATTTCATATTTTGGTGTGAATCGGGCTTCAGACAACAATTATTTCTTGCCATTGTTCTTGAAAATTTCACACAGGGTTTATTTTGAAAGGAAAGCTGTCAAAACTAGCACACATTTGCTAAATACGGTGGCTGTAAACACCATGATTGGGTCAACAATACCATTTAATATCCTATTGTCTTTAAGCTACTGTTTCAGTAATTGATTTCAGACCTCTATATAATTGGCTTTCAAAACACTTTTCACAGTTTGAAGGCCAAAACAAACAAGTCTACTCCAGTATTGGTATTATTTTATTGCTTTGCTGCACCATGGTTTTGTTTGGACACAATTATCATTTTAGTCTTGTTTGTTCTTTTATCAATAAATTTGTTTAAATTCTTAGATATAAGATAACTACCTGGTATGGTTACAATATGGAATGTTTCTGTTGATTCAATGAAAAGCAATAAAAGACTTGAATGAATATCAAAATCAAACTAGATCAAAAGTTATTTTTATTTAAATGCTTGTCCATTTTCTAAACGTTACGTGGTACTGGCCAACACATTTTTGTTTACACTTTTAACTGTTGCAGACTTACTCATGAGTGTCCGTCCCTTTGATGTCACCGCCAGCCATTCGAATTTCTGCCTTCTCCAAATCTGGAGTTTTGCGATGCGAACAAATGGTGCATTCCTAGAAGCATTATTAACATAAATTCACCAGTGAAAATTTTCAAAAAAATCTTAACCCAGTCTTTTCAAACCTGATCAAGGTACACAATGGACAGGGGGTGGGGACAGGATCTATGGGTGACACCCTAGACAAAAAATCACAGATCCAATCAAAAGGGATTTAGTTAATCCTGTTTAGACTAATGTATAATCATGATCTATTTAGAGTAATCATTACCTGATTTAGCCCCTTTTCTGGAGTTATCTGTTTATAACACATTAACACATAGAAGATATATTTAGCCTGCTTTTATCAAAATTAGAAATTGTTTAAACTGTGAGAGCATTTTTAATTTCTGATTCTTTTTTGTTGTCTTATGTCAGTTACTTCTACATTACTATACTAGAAAAATTGATTCAAATACCTTAAGCTTATTCTACACTAAATAAAATAAAACAGATTTCATTCATGTTTACTTTGTTACATTTTATCAAAATAATGGCAAATAAACTTATACATTGAGGTAAGAAACAATGGTCATGTTAAAGGGACAGATGCAACATTTTTGGAGGGATTGATTTGAGTATTTAAAATATGTAAATTGTCTTCAGAAGCACTGGTTCATTGAGTTGTCATTTTAACATTCAATCACGAATAATTCTGGACACACATGGATTTGAAGGCTCAAATTTGGACAATAACTGATTGACTTAGCTAAAAAATTATCATTTCTGAGACAAAGGTGTGATTTTTCAAAGAGAATGGCACTTCTGTCCCTTTAAGTTAAGGTTAAAATCCAAGCACCTTATCGGCTAGCAGAATGAGCTATCCCACTTTCTATTTTTGGCAGGGGATTTGAACAAATTTGCAGAAGTTAAAGTAAATACCAGCTATCATCCGGCTGTCCCATATCCCAATATGAGGTTTAGCCTATTTTAATAAAACAACAATAATTTAGACTTTAGTACCTGTATCTATCAGCTTCAATTAGAAATCTTATCAATCCATCAAAAAGTGAAATTTTTGATAAGATAAGCCCCTATCATTGTTGGCTAGAAATTGCCGGATAATTATTAAGACGTCATGACGTCAAACAACATGTCACAAATCAGAGCCGAGTGTCACACCTGTCACTAAACTACCGTACCTCTGTACCACAGTAGGATTCAAAATATTTCGTTACCGTACCATACCGTAAATCACTTATTTTTTCAAATTGCACAAATGTTTCTATTTAGATTCATTTTTCGTATGAGCTAGAAAGATTTCATAAAAAGGACAGTTTTATGAGGGTTGAGGCTTGTTGCTAAGCCGCCATTGCTGGGTCTTTGCTATGAGTTTGAGGAGCTTTGGAAAGGGCCATGAGAAAAATACTAGCTTCTAAGCTAAGTCCATTTGGGTATAGACAGTGCACATTTATGTTGAGCTCTTTCATTCATGTCGGTCTACAATATTTTGGACAAACTTTTGAAAAATTTGAAACAAACACACCAGGGAACATGTAGCAATGTACAAAGACAAGGCTTGGCTAGAGACTTAACCTAAAAATGTGTCATCCAGCTTCTGTCAGAATCCATGGTCACACCTACATAATGCATGATGACAGCAAACACACGTCACCTATCAGAGGCTGAGTGGACAAACTGCCCATGACTCACGGCTACTAATGACAGATTCATCGGTCCACTCGACCATCATTTTATTGCACTTCTGGAGAATTTCTCAGCTTCCCGCCAATCCCTCAATAAGCTTATTTCAACATCTTTGCATTCACTCACCTCTTTTTTATCTTTGGCATAAAGTTTTGGAACAAAATCTGTATATTTGAAAGATTTGTATGCTAAAAAACTGCATCCTCCAACACCAACACTCACTACACATCCAGTCAAAAACACATTTCTCGTAGAATGTTGTTGATTACTCGAAATCAGTTTACCTGTCAGTGGCCATTTTCGACCGAATACTCTTCGAAAAGCCATTTTCCTAATTATCAATACTTTGCAATAATTTTACGGATGTTTATAGCCTACTCAAAAACTTAATCCACTCCTACATTATCCTTAATTAGGTAAACAAGTAGTAAATTTAATTGTATTTTATCAACACTCCAAATATCGTCGGCGGAAGATGGAGCTGTCGCGCATGCGTGGTTCAGCAATAATTGCCCCCATATAATAAGCTAGTCTCGAGCCAAACTATCATTCAGGCTACACTTTCAGTCATAGAAACGTTCAAAAACTTGGCAAATAGTTACACAAAACACGCTTTATGGAATTTTAAACGATTTAGTGTTTGGATTTAACAATTGATAAATTAGTGGAACTCTTCGTGTGTGTGGACATTTATGAAATTATATATTTGATAAGTTTTGAAAGATAGGGCCTACCCTACGATAAAGCCAGTGGTATATAGATATATAAGCAAGATTGGATATATAATATATGTGTACCGGATGGTTATAAGTAAAAATCCTTTATTCAATGTAAGTAAAAATCAAACATTTTACAATACGCTTCAATATTTATTTAACACCATTTTCAAATTATATTTGGGGTTTTTAAAGACCGACTTTTTCATCGTATAACTTTTAGTTTAGCGAAATTAAAAGTTTTGCGCAAAATGTAATTTATGATTTTACTGAATCAGTTTCTTTTATTTTAACTGTTTTTGAAATTTTTAGTCTCATGAAATAGGCCATTAACTTGCCCTAAATGGGTTCGATCCTGGATTCGATTTGCCTAATGACGTTAAAGCTTTGTGTGTTTTATTGCCCTTTCTAGTATTGAAAAATTACTTACATTATCTATATAGTTATACAAATAGGAATACAATGTCCTTGTTTCGATTTCCCAAAAAATTTGAATAAAACCTTCTTATAATGTCGATTTGACAATTGAGATCAATTATCAGCGCCCAGGAGTAGGGGGAGTGGGAGGGGGTGGGAGAAGTGTCGATTATTTTACCTTTTACTTATATAATTATCGTTTCAAGTTATTAGTTAGCAAGTTATCAGTTTTAGTCATCTGATAGTAACAAGAGTCAAGCAGTCTATAAAAAAAAAACTTCTATAAGTACCAACCAAGGTCACTGAATATTTTGATTCGCTTTCAAGTTGGTGGGAAAACGAAATGAAATATAACTCATAAAAGCACTGGCCTGGGTCGTATCGGAGATTTGGTCTTACAGTGAACAGAATATAGTGAAATACTATGGCATAAGAGCGACGGATTGATTATCCAAAACGCACCATGATTTAGTAAAATACTTTATCTCTTAAAAGCGACGAGTTGTTTGACCGAAACGCACTATACCGTAGTAAAATACCATCGCCTATAACAACGACGATTGTTTGCCCGAAAAGCAACATAATTTAGCAAATAAAAGCGACGGGTTAATTATCCAAAACACAGAATACTAGAGTAAACGACCATCAGATATGAAGCCACTAATACGATAAATATAGCTTGTCTCTTGTAGAAAAAAGAAGCGTAATGTCTTATCATTGTTTAGTTAAATAACATAGACAATATGATAAACATCAACTGGGACAAATATTAGCTTATTTCTTTACTACCGAATATATATGTTCTTTATTCCTATATCAGACATTGGTTCTGTATAGATAGATAGTTCCGTGTACTAATGTAGAGGCTTAAAGCTAGGGTCGGGACGAGGGTTTGGGAATTTTGCCTCTCAGGTAAAATAGTGTATCGCATATTAGAGGTGGGGATTGCTGTCTGGTGTTCGATAGGGTAGAGTGATGCTGGAGTCAAATTGTCCTCCTCTAGACGTAAAACTCTATCTTGTTCTTATCTCATTGAATGTGTCTTGTTTGTGTTTTTTACAGGCTACGCACGTTTAGGATCCCTCGACAGTTGGAAATCCGAAAAGAGTACAAATTGTCCGTTCACACTGCATGTACGTCTTTATTAGACCAATAGCAGCAGAAAAGTACGAAGTAAAACTCCCTTCATTTCATTTTATTTGTTCGTGTTTTTCAGGACTACTAGTTATAAGAGAGACAGTGGAAAAACTCAATGGGACGTGTTGAATATCGCCGAGAACAGCGTGTTCAGTGTGAATCAGTGACAGAACCAGTGTATCACAAACTACCACATTATACGAACTACCATCGGCACCCTTTAATCAGTAAACACGACATTTGGAGGTGTATCGAATGTGACTTCAAACTGTGGCACCCAAATCGTGATTTATTGAAATAAAGTGATCACATCGCTACAGAAATTAATGGATTAACAAATCTGAAGTGCTACAGGATTATATTCACGTGAGAAGACTTAACAATTTTTCCATGGTGGTCATTCAAATTTTGGAATACTATTTCACCCTAATAGCGGATGCAAGCCCTGAAGGCTTCTTCTGAGGGTGCTTTGAAGGGACATGTCCAACCAGCCTGCTACTGGTGTTGCGTTATCACACACCGGAAACCTACCCTTACCCGTCCCCCCAATTCCTTACCCCACACCCCATATAGGCCAACCCCCGTCCTGGAGCAATTCTCAAGAGGATAGGAAATTTTATCTTCAAAATAAAGTGGGTCATTATTTGGAAATTTTACCCGATGGCCGAGTGAGGGGGAACCCAGGAGAGAAGACCATTTACGGTAAGAAATCTTTTTATTTTAGGCATTTCCTTGGCCTAGTTTCCCTTATAAAATTGTCACCAATCGTGGTATATTACCAATATCAACTGGACCGCCCGTTTAACTCCGTTTAAAATTTTCATAACCGTGAAGGTAAAAGGTTTTTAGCATTGAAAACGATAACATGTACTATACATATATCTTAGAATTTTGCAGTAAAGTTCACTCTCTCAATTGTACATTGAATTTTCAAAATGTTTGCTTTGAACGCAATGTACATTGCCATATTTGCAACGTTGTGTCAGCACGAAACGCGTCGCTATGGCTTTGAATTACGAAGTTCAAATTACATGTACCCTCACATCCCAAATTAACACTTTATTTCCGATTTTCCTTATTGATTCAAAGTATCATTAAGAATCTGGCTTTATACTAATATTTAGGCTAAGTTGCATGTGAAATCTGGAATGGAATGGTTTTCTGTGATCTATTATTTAGACTACGATGTTATATAAAATTTGAAATTGTTTTCTATGACCCTTCCCGCTACTCTCTGACCATTAGTTTTTGGCACAGTGTTATAAACAATTCCAAACCAATAAACATTTGTATATATGAGGAATTGCAATGGTATTTGGTACACTTTACTCGTAAATATACGATAACAAATCGTGAACATCGGCGAAGTAAACTGTTGCAACGTTTCGGCAGTTTATTACGTCGTTCTCAGAAACAATGATATATCGGAGCAAGAGCATTGGATATTGTTCTGTAAACTGTAACAACGTTTCGATAGTTTACGTCGCCCTCAGAAAAAATGATATATCGAAGCAACTGTTGAAACGTTTCGATAGTATCGTTTTCAGATACAGTGATATCGAAGCAATAGCATTGGGCAATTGTGCTTTAAAATATAATAACGTTTCGATAGTTTACACTGACGTCCTCAGACAGTGGTAATACAAGCAGAAATGGTTGTAGAGGCACAGACTTTATAAAATTGAACGCTTTCCAATTAGCTACAGTCAAAACCACTTCACTGCCAATTAGTTAAGCTAGTCTGAACATCGTAATTAAGACATGGAAGATCTGTACTACCACGGCCAATGCATTCGATAGACAGCCCGTGTCGACTATCGACATCTACCACCAACACATTCATATATGTCGACATGTTGTTAGATGTTGTTGAAGGCGAGAGAAAAATGAAAATTGTTGTGATGACAAACACTAAGTACATGTCTTGTAAATACATTAGAATTTCTTACATGAATGAGTTCTAGTGTGTGTTTTTTCCAGAATCTCTCTACTGACCCAAATTCCTCTGATATTTCATGCATTTTGGTTGTCTTTGCACATCTCATCATTTTTCTGATATTACTATATTTTACAAACCAATTAGAAACTTACGACACAGGCGATGCCATGTAGTGTGCAATGGGAAAAATTTTACAAGGACATCGGCCCATTCTCTCTCAATTTTCATCTGTAACGTGCACAGCCTATACCACACGAGGCCTCGGTTTTCATGTTCCTTAAGCAACGGTACGATGATTATCCACTTCCAACCTACCGTTGCCAAAGGATGCGAACAGGCTTCATTATTTGGCATCATTACTTAAAGGGACATAGTATCAAAATATCTGCCTTACCAACTGTTAACCAACCTACATAACAATTTTCTGAAATTCTTCAATACGTTTTTACTTGATTTTTTAAGAGCCGATAGTTGGATTTTAATTCTCAAAAGTTATGCGTAAATATACAATTGAGTTCTCTCAGCTTTTAAAGCAAATATTCAGAAAACTAATCTACTTATCATTTGAAGCCGTCGTAGATACAACAGTTTGTATAGTAACGGCATCGCTTACTGTCGCTGTGTCGCAGTAGTCCAAGACACAGACAGTTTTTTTAGCCACGGATCATGGGTTCTCAGTTCGATTTTGATATTTATTGGTTTGAAAAGCTAAGTTATATTCTTGTGATTTGAATAATGGAAGTATAGATACATGTATTTGTAAATTTTAAGTTTGCTGATTTGAAAAATGCTTTTGATGTAGTTTTTATTTTGGCTTTGTTAGTATGATTTAAAACATGCTTTTAAAATCCTAATAAGTGTGGTACAAATAACCCACTTTATCTATTTATAACGTGTTAAACCATTTACTACTCTATACGAGGGCTGGAGGCAAGTCGAGTAGTAGACGCTTGGTTAACGGTACGGAACGGACTAAGTCTGTACATGTAGATCTAAATATGTGGACGTTTGGATATAAATCACACCATATTGAATGGATTGAGATCTGATACGGTCATATTATCTCTATTAATTGATATTACAAGTTAAAACAGGCCTTATATAATTGATTGATAAAACACATCACCATGGACTCCCTTTGTTCATATTTCAACCCCGAATATTTTATGTGAACGAAATATTATTACTTTGTACCAACTTGAATTGTACTCAGAATTTGTACCAGATAATTTTACGGGTGCGTTTTGACCCAAGTTTGAAACCTACAGAATCAACTTCATATTCAATTGCAGTGTCAAATACTACTACAGCTTACTTACCCGTACCTCGAATAATTCAAAAGCATTTTTGAAGTGTCCTGTATATACTATATCTGGCCATAAGTATACATTGATAGACTTTCAGTATCCTTAAGTAGAAATTGACATATGTGGATTTAATCTTGACTGCACATCGTGAGAGCACATAATCTACTAGTATCATTAAGAACAATTTTTGTCTTTATTAGCTCAATAAGGTGGACAAGATTAGGACTTATAACTCGTTTCATTTCAATAAAATAATTGATTTGCTTATATTTGAAGCCAAAAGACTCCTGTGTTCTTGTTTAATTCATCGTCTGCATAGGTTCCATCGACCATCATGTGCGCATGTAAATCGTTTTTTTACTTTTGAAAAATATTCGAGACACGAGAAGGATTGTATCAAAGCAGCTGTTACTTATATCTTTCAAATTATTGGAAGAAAACACATTGCGACATTACCCCTTTAATTTATCAGCTGATGAAATGTTGTATATTCTAAATATAAACATTATCTTAACACGTCTGCCACTGATATTCCCGCCAAGAAGGCGATATTATGTTCAGCGTGACAGATAGCCTACATCAATCTCTATATACACCATGCTTGTCAAGTAATGATCGTTTTAACACTTGTTTTTATTCTTTTCTTTCTTTTTCGCTTTGATCGTCTGCTTTTTCATTATTTAAAACTTTTTTCAGAATGTGAATTATTTATCATGTGGTTTTCATTCTTTCGTTTCTTTTTAAAGTTTATTCGTCTGCTTGAAAGAGTTTTAGCATATTTGAAACGGCTTGATTCACTTTGAGGATTATGATCTTTTCGGATCTTTTCGTATCTTTCCGGACGGAACAATAGAACATGGACTAGAGCCCGAAGTCCAGCTAGAAATCGGATCCTATACCCAGTGAAATAACAATGTACCTTTGAATGCAAACTGTATGCTCACGAAACAGGCAAATGCTCGACATTTCCATAGTCACCCAAGTAGACTGAAATGAGATACATCTTATTTCTCCAATATAGAGTCATGGAAATACAATTTAGGAGTCAAATATAAAGGTGGCTATTGGATGGCCTGGTTTTCGGACTAATCTCAGGTATAATCTTAAGAAAGGGTGATTATCTGATAGTCAAATATGATATACAGTATTTAAACCACTTATCGGCCCACCTGTCAGTCAGAATACCGTCCGATACATCAGTTATTGTCATTAGACTGAAATATGTCGAGGGTTAGAATGGGACAAGTTTAGACTTGATAGACAAAGTCGAATGTAAGAGAGGATACTGATGTAAAGCTAAGAAAGGATCTATAAATAGTTTTTATGAAATTTTGAAAGTGGACGGACAGGGCAGTCCGAAATGAAGACCTTTAACAAAATGACAGGAACGATGGTTGATTTAAGGTTTTATTGCACACAGCGTTTCAATAATTTACATTGTCACCATCAGGTGAAAACGACTTGTTGATAAAATGTAGAATGAGAAGAATTCCTTGACATTGTGTTCTTTAACATTTTTATTATTGCATTTAGTTAGATGCGAATTTGTTTCTGCGAAAGAGACTGCGTCTAAGGCAAGTTTTTATGTGAATTATAATATTCATCCATACATGTATATGTAATATAAAAGTATTCTAGTCCACGACCAGTGTTTATGTGATTTATATGTAATATAAAGGTATTGGGTATTTTAGTCCACGACCAGTGTTTATGTGAGTTGTCAATGTAAATTGTAATGTAATATAAAGGTATGTTAGTCGTGTAGAAGACTAAGAAGATAACATAGACAAGATGAAAGTGAAATATTATATGATACTTATCATACTGATAATTAAATATTACTCTACCTTCTCATACTTAAAGATGGCTTCCTGGGTCACTAACACAATTTTTACATGGCCCCTGGGGTGAAGGTTAAGTGTTCTTTACATTCTTATGCATAAAGATTGCTTTTCTGGGCCACAAACCAAAAATTTGCATGGCCCTGGGAGTAAAGGTACAATACCCTTTCTTAACCTTCCTAAATTTAAAGATGGCTTTCCGGGGCAACAAATCAAAAATTGCATGGCCCCGGGGGTGAAGGCAGTGTGCTCTATCTTTACCTTCTCATGCTAAAAGATTGCTTTTCCGAACCACAAACCACAAAGTTGCATGGCCCCAGGGGTGACAATATGGACAAGGGTAGCTCCACTAGGACAAGTTTGATCATAGCGCCCTTTAAATACATTCTTGCTTATGAATGAATGAAGGTCGAAATGTATGTAGGAATGAATTGGAATGAACGAACGAATATATGAATGAATGAATAAATGACAATTTACGATTTCAGATAAGAAAAGGTAGGAATTAGGGGACCCCATTTTAAATTGAAGGCCAGACTTAAAAGATGTTTGACATACCTTAAGTCGATCTCGTCACCTAGGGGTGGATACAGTACATATCTAACACCTTTCTTA